TAACGAATTTTTCAATCAGGGAGCCTAAAAGAAAAATCCAGTAGCTTGTCAGTGACACTCTGTTTGAAAAAATGTTCGAAAAAATGTTTGAAGGAAAGAAATATAGATATATTGAAAAAATATACAATCTTTACTTATCTTTGGACGTTTCGGGAACGAATCTGCTCGCGTTCTCAAAATGGAAAATTTTTTAAACGCAGTGACATTTTCTGATTTGTCCCACTACACATATATTGAAATAATACGCATATTTTTATTTTATAGAAACGAGGAGAGAAAATCCCAAAAAATCAAGTAAAATGAATGTACCACCTGCTCCTCGATTGGCCTATTTAAAAGAAAGAAAATATTCCACTACCGAACGGGAATGTTTGGCAGTCTTGTGGGGTATAGAGAAGTTGCGACCTTATATGTACTGACCACTGGTCTCTATGCTGGCTGAATAATTTGAAAGATCCGACAGGAAAATTGGCGGGATGGACAATGAAATTTCAACAATACAGTTTCAACATTCGGTAGATTTTATAAAAAATGATGGAGTATTGATGAACATCCAATTTGTGATAGTTGGATGTCCAAAATGACCAAGAAGGTTATAGAGGACCCCTTGAAATTCCCAACGTGTGGACTGTGGGTTCGATTCTCTACAAATACGTTGCGGATGATAATTTCCCGGCTTGATAGAAAACGGAGATAATTGGAAGAGAGTAATCCTGAAAAGTGAGCGCTAATTAATATTGTATCAATGCCATGATGATGCCAAAGCCGGCCATCGAGGCATTTTCAAGACCTACAAACGAATTTTCCAGCACTACTATACTGGCCTAAATTGAAATCCTTTATTTCAAAATACATTCGAGATTGTTTAATATGTTGCAAGAATAAGCCAGAACAGAAGAAACCAGCTGGACTTTTTCTGCCCCATCGAGTGGTAGATAGGCCCTTTCAGCACGTGTCGTGTGATCTGATTGGTCCTCTTCCGCGATCCAATCGTGGTTTCAAATTTATTTTAGTTAACGTAGATAATTTTAGCAAATTATTAGTTATTCCGTTGAGGAATGAATCTCATAATTAATTTGTGTAGCTCTAAAGGAGCGGTTACTCTTGATGTTTGGTCAACCTGAGGTCTTATTATCCGATAATGGACCCCCAGTTGAAGTGTAAAGAATTTCGTAGGCTACTGGAAGAATATAAAATCTAGTCTTCACCCCGCATTATCATCCGCAGGCCAACCCGACGAAAAGTGCAAATAAAACCCTGGAAATATATATATATATAATGTAGTTCCACCCTGTATTATACATTCCTGAATGAAACTCTGAAATGATTTTATATTCACCACATTCGGCATGGAAAGTTTATTTTTTGTGCCGAATTGCATCATTTCATCACGTGGCGTTTCGGAAATATTCAAGAAATACCATCCCTTTCAGGGGGGCGTAGCTCCCTTAGGAGAAATTTCTCGACTCATGTTCATTAGAACTTTTCTTCCTATTATTGGTCGAAGAAGCCGCTGGCTAATTTCGGGACACCCTGTATATATATATATAAAGAAATACATGGAGAATTCGCATGATGTCATGAAAATATCAATTCTTTCTCGGTTTATTCAACAGAAAACAACTACTTTTTCAGGAAAGTAGTTGTTTCCTGGAAAGTTGTTGTTTTCTGTTGAATATACCAAGAAAGAATTGATATTTTCATCACATAGAGTATGCGAATTCCCTATGTATTCCTTCATATACAGATAAGTGTGCAAAAAACGGCCAGGATTGTAACTTTCGAATTATTCTAGATAAGGTTTTGAAAATTGGTGGGTAGCAAGTATACCAAATTGCTTATCAATTGATAAAACAATTTTTCTTCTATCACCTTCAGTTTCACCGGAAACGACCCCAACTTTCGATTTTTGAATGGGACACCCTGTATTGTATTCCATGATGGATAAGGGATTATCATGAAGAATTCAAAGCGATACCGGGTTTGATAGGGTTATTTCAAACGTTTACAAAGATAATTACGTTCAAAGTTTCCATACACTCAATGGGTGTGACTTCGCAATATCAAATTAACTTCTTTCTCTGTCACACTCATTGAGCATATGGAAACTTAGAACGCGAAAATATCTGCGTAACTGTTTGAAATAACCCTATCAAACCCGGTATCGATGAATTCGTTATGACAATTCCTAACCGATTATGGAATACAAAACAGGGTGTCCCTTTTGAAAATTAAAAGTTGAGATCGTTTCCAGTAAAACCGGAAGTGATAAAACAAAAATGGTTTCGTCAATTATTGAGCAATTTGGTATACTAGATGCCTACCAATTTTCAAGGCCCAATCTCGAATAATTCAAGAGTTACAGTCCTGGCTGTTTTTTGTGCACTTCTCTGTATATACAGGGTGTTTCGAAATTCGACCGACAACGCTTGACGGGTGATAACCCTCGTGATTTCATAATCACTGAGATAGGGACATTCGGTCTTCAAGTGTTCAGTTATCGAGATACAGGGCGTTGAAGTTAAGCAGTTAAAATAGTTTTTTCGCAATATCTCAGGAAAAATTGAATATAATGCAATCAAATTCGGTATATGGTTTCATCTTTCAATGGTTAATTTTTTAACCAGAAAGACATTCCGAAAATTTTATTCAGAGGTGCGCTACAGGGGGTTGTGATAACTTTTCCGCCCATATTTTCTACGCCACTGATGAAATTTCAATTATTTCCAATTTCTCGAATTGATTGTTCAATTATGTTGAGAAAACGCATCACCTCAACTGAGCTAAAATGAACGGTTATCGACATATTTGACCCAAACTAGAAGTTTGCATAGTAATTTTTCATCTTCCTCAGTAGTAGAAAATTACAAAAATGTTTGTTTTCTCTTTATGCGTGGAGTAACTATTTCTGTTCAGCTATTGGATGAGATCTAAATAGTATCCAATCTACTCAACATCAGAAAAATATTTTTGCAATTTTCTACTGCTGAAAATGATGAAATATTACTATGCAATCTTCTATTTTGGGTCGAATATCTCGAAAACTGTTCATTTCAGCTCAGTTGAAGGTGATGCATTTTCTGAACAAAATTGAACAATGAATTCGAGGAATTGGAAACAATCGAAATTTGATCAGTGGCGTGGAAAATATGAGAGGAAGACTTGTCACAACCCCCTGTAGGGCACCACTGAATAAAATGTCCGGAATGGCTTCCTGGTCAAAAAATGACCCATTCAAAGATTAAACCATATACCGAAGTTGAATGCATTGTATTAAATTTTTCTTGAGATATCGCGAAACAACTATTTTAATTTCTCAACTTTGACGCCCTGTATCTCGAGAACAGAACACTCGAAGACCGTATGTCCCTATCTCAGTGATTATGAAATCACGAGGGCTATCACCTGTCAAGCGTTGTCGGTCGAATTTCGAAACACCCTGTATATCCATTTTTCTTATGTTCATAATTATATCTGAGAATACTCCTTCTGAAGCTATAACTTCAGCCACATTATCAAATGTATTGAATTTGTGGCAATTATTTTTGTATTGTTTATTTATAATGCATTTACTGATAACATGTCATTATACAGTAGATAAGTTATTATTGTTTTGCTATACAGTGTGTCCCACTTAGCATGCTCACCATGGGTATCTTTTAAACGGTGAGAGATACGAGGTCGGTTAAATGACACCAAATGTGGAGTTTGTCAGGGCCAACTATAATGTGAAAAAATATTTTGATAAAATCTATTCGTTTTCGTATTATACGCAAAAAACAGATTTTGATCATTTTCATGTCTCCTCCGTAATTTCTTTATTTATGAAAATATTCAAATAGGAATTTCACTTCTCATGGCAGTTTTTCAAAGTGATTTCGAAAAAAATATGAAATTTATACCAACTCTTCTAGAATTTGAGATATCAGCACCAACTTTAGTTTTTCAAATGTAGGTCATAGCGCACTATGACTTAGTTACAAATAACTTTTTTTTCTCTTTCAGATGATATGTCGCAGTAATAGTTTTGTGCTGATAACAACGGAGCTATCGTCATTTATACAAGAACAAAAAATTATTTGGAAGCCGCCATCTTGAATTAATAAATTTTAACAAGAAAATCATGATCTCCGACCTCAAAAAACCCCACTCACCAATTTTGAATGGAATCGGACCAAATCTTGTCCGCCATCTTGGAGCAGCCATTTTTAATTTAAACAAAAATTCCATAACTCCGATCACCTTGAAATTTGGCAGGTGTTCGAAAGTTCGGTGACAATACATTATGGAATTTTCATTGAAATTAAAAAAAATGGCTGCTCCAAGATGGCGGACAAGATTTGGTCCGATTCCATTCAAAATTGGTAAGTGGGTGTTTTTGAGGTCGGAGATCATGATTTTTTTGATAAAATTCATAAATTCAAGATGGCGGCTTCCAAATTATTTTTTGTTTTTGTGTAAATGATGATAACTCCGTTGTTATCAACACAAAACTATTACTGCGACTTATCATCTGAAAGAAAAAAAAAAGTTATTTGTAACTAAATCATAGTGAGCTATGACCTACATTTGAAAAACTAAAGTTGGTGCTGATATCTCAAATTCTAGAAGAGTTGGTATAAATTTCATATTTTTTTCGAAATCACTTTGAAAAACTGCCATGAGAATGTGAAATTCCTTTTTGAATATTTTCATAAATAAAGAAGTCACGGAGGAGACATGAAAATGATCAAAATCTGCTTTTCGCGTATAAAACAAGAACGAATAGATTTTATCAAAATATTTTTTCACATTATAGTTGGCCTTGACAAACTCCACATTTGGTGTCATTTAACCGAACTCGTATCTCTCACCGTTTAAAAGATACCCATGGTGAGCATGGTAAGTGGGACACCCTGTATAATAATGATATTCATCAGTTATGAAATTTCACCTTTTGAATAGAATATGCTCGTTCAGTTTGGGATTGAGTTGAGTGGGTATATTGACTATAGATTCGTCTGCCTTCTGTATATATTTTTTCCTTCATTCATAAATACCAGTCAACAAAAACAGAACAACACATTTGTTAATGAACTTGTAGTCTTAGAATTATTCAACAAAACATCTACAAATAAAAATATATATGTATATCAAAAATATTTCTCTTCAATAACGTCTGATACAGAATAAATACTCATAGAAAATAAAATAATTTGATTTGAGATATTTTTTCCACTAGTTATTTCCATTTTCATTTTTCTGGGGGTAAATGATTTGAAGTTTTGGTGAAAAATTAATGGAAGATATCTAACGACTAATGAAAATGTAAATATCAAATGGTTAAAAAATGTGTGCCATAAAATGAAATATTTTGGTATATTTCGATATGGAAAAAATAACGTTTGCAGTTAAAATTGGTACATACCTCAATGCATAATTGTCAATAATTCAGATGCATTTACTACGACCGAACTCGTTTTATCAGTAAAGATTGAGTTCAAAGTTACCTAAGTATACATGATTCGAAATATAACTAATTCATCAACTAAATATGTTTATAGAAAATTGTTTAAAATTCAAGTAAGTATAGTACACACTTATTTTCAATAATGCCCAAAACTCCGAGAAATAAATCTCAATGCTCTCCAGTTTAGTCTCCGATTTTCTGTAACGTTGATTGTACACTGACTTGACACAGCATTCTGACATTACTCTGAAGGCACCCATTCTAGTGCTCATTTTCAATGTATGTTCGATACCTCGCATCAAATCATTAGTTTTTAGAATAAGAAGCATTTGTGGGTTGACGTTTTGTAACACTTCGGAAATCTGTGGAAGAATGCCTGTGAAGGTCTGTTTCATAAATTTGACCTCACTCTTTGACATCTGCTCCCTAAAATAAAAATAACTTTTTTTTAATATCCGTCAACATTTTAACATCTTATAACACTTTCTTGCTATTTTATGGATGTTGTATAATAAATAGTAAATTGCAAGACTAGTGTGTAGTTGTGTTATAGGCACGGCAGCTCTGTTGTTTGGGAGCAGGCTGTGGATTCAAGAAGTTATGTATGTTTAGGGACCTTTTGCCAGGCGCCACTCAGTTTTCAGTAGTAGGAAAACTAAGAAAATTTAATATTGAGGATAGAATTTGAAAATCTAATGAAACACCAAATAACTGTACCAGAGAAATATAATTCTTTAGATGTTTGAAGCAGGTTCATGTGACACACAATTTCAATTATACCTTCAGTAACACCTTACTGTGCAGAACAATGATTAAATCACTTCCTCAGTGTTGTATAAGTTAAATGCTTAAGCAGAACAAAAAATGTAGATATCTCAAGATATTCCCCTTCTATATAGGCCTATATTTCCGGTTCACAGAATGACTGGACTCCCATTATGATTTAGTTAAGTGGTATTTCAAATATAAAATTAAAACTGTTGTTACGAGTAGTAAGACTTGAATAGTGGTTCAACTTGGTGCTGCGCACTACTGGATCATCAGGAACAAAAGTATAATCAAAATTGATCTGACCTTAGTGTCTGCGAAGCATGTGGTGCTGCTCTGTCCTTCCCTGCCAGTGAACTCCAACTCCAACTCCAACTCCAACTCCAAACTCTAGCTGGTGCAGTTAAAAAAAAAAGGTTTCCTGGACTTCCTAGTCACCCTTCGACATCATGGACGGCACGACAAGGTGGGATCAAGAGAATAGCCCCAAAATTGAGAAGTGGCCCCAACAGCACACTATCTTGAAGTGGAGACTTTCTAGTCACCTTGTGGCATCATGGATGGCTCAGGATGGGATCAAGAGGAATATTCCAGATTTAACCGGAGGCTACTAGCTACAGGCTAGATAATTGACGAAAGCTGCGGCACGCTACGATGATGGCGTCCCACCAGGACATCCACCATGGACAGGCCAATAAATCTGTTGGAAATATACCAAATTGAAACCATTGAATAGGTTTATGGACTCTAAAAATGCTCACCTTCCGTCTGGAATGGCCGAAAATAAGGGTATCAAACCCCACAAAGGTTGGATGGAAAATGGCAAAATTCGTGCCCATCTTGCCTACTCTCGGTAGAGAAGAAGGAAATCAAGAAATTTCAAGAGTTTCCTGTGCACTCAGAAAACAAAACCGTTTATAAAAACATGTTTCAAATTAGAAATGATTCACTGCGCAAGTACAGTTGGAATCTTGACTAGTTGATAAATATTACCAACAGAGAATATTGAAATACCTAGATTATTTAAAGAAAATGTCCTAATGGGCTTTTGCCCGTTTTTAAAGAATTGTGAAGTTAGGTCTGACACAGAACTATAGTAACATTGGTCCAACCAAAAATCTTGCCAGCAGGCCGAAAATAAAAGAAGAAGGTTATAGATTCACAAAGGCTATGGACGAAGCGAAATAACCTAACAATCCACATAACCAATTAAACTGTCAGACTGAAACTGAAATACGAATATAAACAATTACAACTACTTCAAATATAACTTCCTGTGGATCCATAATTAAATTGAAAACAGCAAGGACATATCATTTTCCAACAGGTTTGTCAAACTGTGCATTTCAACTTTTACCCATTCAATCAGTCAACAGCAACTGGAAATGTAAATCATTTATCATTACAGCTAGGAAGAAGGACAGATCAACACCGCTGCTATGGACACCTGAAAAATACAACCCTGAAACTAATAGACAGTCACACCAGGAAGACAAAGGAATCTTCAAGTTCAGCTTACAAGAGGTCCAACGCCAACAGGATATTCAATCCACCTGCCATAACAAAATGTAAAGTGTTGCAGTCACATAATCTATTGAGTATCTTACATCATCATAATATACTGGGTGTTACTCTTGGTTAACTTAATAACAAACCCATATAATAAGGTAAAAAAGGAAAACTACATGTTACATTCACCCCCTTCCGACGAAAAAAATAGGCATGTAGGTACATGTCTATTTTAATTGGGGACAATCCTAGTACAGTTATATTTTATGTATGGTGAGATGAGAATCGAGCTCGATTTGAATGATGAAAACTAACCTAGGCCTTACCTAACACTATTCCTAATGATGAGATCCTAACATTACTCCTACCCTACTATTTACAAAACCCCCTGGGAGGTGCTTCCCGGCAACAGATAACCCTTGGATCAAACGTCGTTTCGACTATTTTCTTCTAACTCATCATCAGTATCGACCGAAGAAAATTCAGACCCATCATAAGGTTTTAAATCCTGTATGTGCCATACTCCTGCATTTGTACCGTCCTCATTCTTGAGTACATATACAAGTTTCGATTTTTTCTTCGCTACAGTGCAAAGAACGTAACGCGGCGCTAACTTTTTAGCAAAATTGTTTGCAGCATCAGAAAGAACATAATTCCTTTTCCATACTTTATCACCCACAAAGAATTCCATGTCCCTCCTACGCAAATTATAATACCTTGCATTCCTTTGATATGCATAGGTTAGTTTAGATTGGACATCTTTGAAAATTTCAGATAAATTGCCTAAATTTTGAACCCATCTTTCTCTATCACCTACATCAAAAATATCCACATTACCATCCCCATAGTACTTCCCTGAGCATGGAACTTCACGTCCAAAATTAAGAAATGCTGGGCTATAGCCTGTTATCTCGTGAATGGCGGTCCTCATAGAGTATGCAATTTTAGGTAATTCTTTATCCCACGATTTATGGTTACCATTAACATAACATCTTATAGCCGTGCAAATTGTACGATTTGATCGTTCGACATAGTTTGCCTGGGGATGATAGTATGGAGTATATCTAAAATTTGACCCATAATCCTGAACAAGTTTTTTAATAGCTTTACTTACTAGCTGTTTACCATTATCACACACAATCTGTTGTGGTGTGCCATATACTAAGAATACTTCATTCTCTAAAAATTTTATGATACTGCTAGAAGTAGCATTACGTAATGGACATATCAAAGGATATTTGGTGAACCAATCAGAGACGACTAATATGTATTGATAACCGTTGGAACTCCGGGGAAGTGGGCCCATCAAATCCATTGCAATAACCTGCCATGGAAACCTAACACTACGCTGTGAACCCATCAACCCAAATTTGGCGTGGTTTGGTGACTTTTGTGATGCGCACATTTTACAAGATTTTACATACTGGTTAATATTTTGCCGCATTTTAGGCCAATAATAGGTAAGTATGACTCTAGAATAGGTTTTGAGATATCCAGCGTGTGCAGCTGTACTGACATCATGACAAGAAGATATAATGGATGAACGTTGCTTCTTTGGCACCAACAACTTCCAGTCGGAAATATTGGTATCCAATGAAACTTTGGATGGTACTAACTTATATACATAACCGTCCTTGACAGCCCATTGAGGGTATTTGTCAGGGTGTTCCAATATTTTTGACCTCATTTTAACATAAAAGGAGTCTAAGTTGGTTAAATCAATATTAAGAGAATTTGCTTTACTAACGTCATCTAAAGGACCCCGCACTTTTAGTACGTAAAATGGTTCTCGGTGAAATTTTCTGAATTTTCAGTATGTTGTAGAATTCGATGAACTGATTGAACCTGCAGAATCGTAAAGTTATTTGATGAACAGATTCTGAGATACAGGGCGTTGAAGTTACAAATCGGTATTTTTCATTTAATTATTTTCTCGACATCCAAAGATGCCAAGTACAATTTTCTTCGCTCATATCATTAACGCACCTCCATATCACTCAACATGATTCAGATGGTTCAGATGATGCAATTGTTTACAGGGTGAAACATATAAACATTTCAGTGATGTCTGAAGATTCGATGTAATAATGAAATATCGAAAAAATAATTTAGGCATGCAATATACTATTCTCATTCCATCATGAATCACAATTCATACATTTCATACAGGGTGATTTGAAAAATTGGTGACACCTAAGACCGATTTATTCATACACATCCTGTATATTCGAGTAAATTGTTAACCTCCCAAGATAGCTGATACCGTATGAACATGATTTCGTTGAGATATATAGGGTGATCATGAAGATTTTCGATGATGAAAATGACAAAAAATCGTGTTTTTTGAAATCACCCTGTTATTCATGATTAACTCGGTGAAATTCCCTAATTATTTTTTAATTTATTCATCATTCGCTTCCCAACGCTGTCTTGAAAATTCAGTTTCCTATCATGACGGGTGTCATGGTTATTAATTCAGGAACTTACCATATGCATGAAGAGTTGAAGAGACTTGTTCACTTACATTCGCATAGTGGCCGATATTTCTCACAAATAGTGAAACGTGAGAATGTGGAGACGAAAATAAGTTTAGTATTCACATAGAGGGTGAACATTAGAAATTCTATAACAATAGCAGATATATGAATTTAATAATATTATTATATTGTACAGATAGTTAGGCGAATTTCGTTGGTATACAAGCTCTGCCAAAATGAAAAACGAACAATACCTAGGAGATGGGAGAATGATTCGGTTTTTATGTTACACTTGATCTCCACATTCTCACGTTTCACTATTTGTGAAAAATCTCGGCCACTTGACGAATGAAAATGAACAAGTTCCTTCAAGTCTTCATAAATTGATGAACAATAAATTCCACAAAGGGAATATTCTAAGTTACAACACCCAATCTGAAATCAACAATCAGTAGCCGCGTGACAAGTTCAGTATTTTTTTGTCAATAGGTCCCACAACACCTTTTCATTATCGCTGCTTTTTCGAAAACATCCAGTATAATAGGATTATTTATATTACACCATCATACGTATTGAATTATATCATTGGAATGTGATATGAATATGAATCTCATGATATTATAATAATTACTGATAGCAAGCAACTATGAAAATGATGGAAACGCCTGATTC